GATGCACTCAAATTGGCCAATCAACACTACAAACAATACCCAACACATCCAAAAATCGAGAACCAGAGCCTGGCTGACGGAGATGCCAGAGCGTATAATCTCTCCCGTAGTGTAGGCACTTTAGCGTCACGACACAGCTTAGCCGCGTAATATTCTGGGAGCATGGCTAGTGGATTATGTCTGGAGTTGCGTGTACAGTAGAAGATTTGTTATAGTGTAGAGGTGGGGGCGGCATCACTCCAAGTCACCCCACACCCTTATGCAGAGAAAAGAACTGTTTTTACTTCATATATAAAATCCAGAACTCCCCAAGTATCAAGGGAGCCATGACTGGAGATACAAGATTAGCGAGTGTGGCGTATTACCTGTGATAAAGGTTGCAGAACAACACATTTACACCGTACATAAACAAAATGATCACCCACGACCCATGCTCAGGACGCATGAGTTCCGAGCTGCACCACCCATCTTTCAGGGAGGGTGCCTACAAGGTTTATTCAACAATTACAGGGTATTAGTAATATCAAGACAGTATGGAGAGATGTGATTACAAAATAATTAGATAATAGTATTGAAAGATGACAAGTAGTACGGAAGAGGGCCAACGAGTCCTATAAAGATGCTACAACTGGAGGAACTGACTTGAATGCTTCCATTGCCACCCCGGAAGGGACAACGAAATTGCCCTAGTCTCAGAAACCTCTAAACCCTGGCCCGACCCCAAAGCCCTCAGACGCTTAGGAGCCGGAAGCAGGGAGGGAGGACAATGAACCACAGCAGGGGAAGAACGAGGAGGGGTGTGGACTGAACCAAGGCCGAAGCGACCAACACCCTCAAGTCTGGGTCACTATAAGCAAAGTGAGGCAGCCTTGGGGAATCTGGGGAAGCAAGCTATACCTACCATGCAATGCCTGAGCCACCTGTACCTGAATAATGTCATCAGTAGATTGGGTGAATTGAGTCACAACAAAGCTCGCAGGACTACAGTCAAAGGTGTCACCGACCCACCAGGCAGCATGACTGAGGCAAAAAACTATGAGCGCTGCCCTGAGACAAGGGAACAGAGTAACCCTCAAACTCGCACAAGGTGAGAGGGGACCCAGGGGTTCCATCCATCGGACCCCGTGCACCCCACGGGGTTTCCCAGGGCCCTTAGACTGGTAACTCCAAGGGTAAGCCCAGGCAGGGCTACTGCTAACCAGCGCCCAAAGCTACCAAACAAACTGCAAAAGCTAAACCCTCGGGACATGTCCACACATAGGAAGCCAAGCAGGGGGTACCACCGAAAACAGAAGATCTAACCCTAATATAACTAGGGAAAGGAACACAGACACCCCACCAAGCAGAAACAAAAAGAAAACCCCCACAAGAGGACAATGTACCCAGGAGGAACAGAGCCGGCCACTGTTATAGGCGAAAACTAGCTGTGCAATACCCCATACCTCTACCAGTGCAAAAACTACCACTTTTTCCACACTACACCACAGGTCTAGTGCTTCTGGTGGGGGCTCTTGTTGGTGAACTGTGACATGTTACTTTAACCCTTAAACTGCACAACACATCAATAGCTGTGGTTAGTAACTATCGCAGAATTGTGCACCACAGCTATTGATGTGTTGGAGTACCATGCAAGATTTAAAAGTCCCGCAGCTACACAGGGTTCACAGCTTCCTCATGGTTCTTGTAAACATACTTTTTTTAAATCGTGGGCAACATTCTTGGGTTTGAAAGCCCAAGTACTGAGCGAGCCACCATGGCTGGCGCCTGCAGCATGAGCTAACAGCACTGCTGTTCAGCTTGTGCCCACAGCATTGCCTAAAATTGTCAAAAATATGTACAGTAACTGGTATTATGTATTTAGCGATGATAGTATTACAGAAGACCTGACTGATAAAAAAGAGACCAGGATTCTGATAGCAGGATTGATGTGATAAATTAGTGCTGTGCATAGTATGGTGGGATACGTAATGCTGAGGGAGATAGGTAATTATGCCGTCAGCAGATGCTAAGTGTAGTTAACCAAGTGTAGGTACAGGATGAGAGCTATGCTCGTGGTGTCCTGTCTCCCCAGCACTGTCAAAACGCTTTGAAATAACTTACTGTTTTGGTCTCCATCTTCTCACTTGTTCCAACTGTCTCTACCACTCTTTGTTTACAAAAGTGTGTGGCCACCTGTTATTGTATGCACTCACCATACAAGCTTAGTGGTTCACTATGGTGAACACAAATGTAGAAACTTGTATATATCGCGCGTGCGTGAGTGTGGTGTTTATAGCAAAAGGAGTATGTTGGGAGGAGTCATTTTGGTGACAGAGACAGTCATTTGCTGGCTGCTTTGTGTGTGTTGTCATGCAATTTTGTCATGGCCACTATGTTGTTTGGACACCATACCAGCTCAGTTTTACAGTTATGGTGAATAAAACATGTATATACTTATGTACATGTACGGTATATACAGTACTCTTACTCGTACCCGGCTCCCTCTGCTAGTTTTACTTATTCAAAGCTCCAGTGTAGATGTAGCAACAGAACCGAATGCCCGAAACGCTTTGCGTAATAGTGGCTTTAGGCATTGTATGTACTAGCTCTACCTATAAGTCAACCAATCTTTGTAAAAATTTCTTGTATGCACCTTACCTAAATAAACATTTATTATTTATTTATTTATTTATAACCCTCCCATTCTGTGCACCATCTCACTCCTCACTTCTCTATACCCTTGTGGGATGATTGGATGTTTCTTTCACCCCGATGCCCCTGTTACCTAGCAGTCAAAAGGTACATGGGAGTCAGACAGCTGCTACAGGCTGCTTCCTGGGGGTGTGTAACAAACACACTATGGGTGTGGGCCTCCAAAAGGAGGCCTGGTCGAGGGCCGGGCAGCGGGGACGCTAAGCCCCGAAATCAAGATAAGATCTCAAGACAAAACATTAGGATGTCTGGATATGGCAAGCCCCAAATCTCCAGACATTTATTTATTTCCTTCATAGAATTTGCATGTACAGCATCTACTCTAGTGTCATTTTATACACTAATGTCTAGTGTATAAAATGTCTACACTTCGGATCAATTCTAACTTGCGAAACAACTTTTTTTTATTCCGAAAAACTTTGGAAATGATGTTCGAAGAGCATTGCTTCAACCAATTTTATTTCACAAATTTTTTCTTTTCCAATAAAACAGTATTAATTACTTTTATCAAAAATGCAAATATTAAAGCATGTGTGTGTACTATATATAATGTATATTTTCATCCATTCACTATTATGTATACATACTATATATTCTCATCCATTCACAAAGTATATACTGTATATTTTCATCCATTCACTATTGTGTATATACTGTACTGTATATTCTCATCCATTCACTATTATGTGCATATACTGCATTCTCATCCATTCACCATTTCAAACAATGCATTTTTATAGATACAAAAGAGCTCTACAATGTGCAGATGAATTGCAAACAAATTTAAATAACTATTACAACAAATACGGAACTATCCCACATTAAATTAACAAGGGTAATGTTCACCACAATTACAATTTATCTGGCAAAGAAAAAATGAAACATTTTCTAGCAACCCAATAAACATTAGGAAAAATTAATAGTATACAATACACTAAGTATCTGTTTTACACCATAACGTTTCACCGACGTCAACCGATATTCTGCCTCAATACCAATTATATAATACATTTTGTTAGGGACAGGAAGCCTGTGTACATGAAAACTAAGCTTGAATCTAGGTCCCCACCACCCCCAAGGTCAAACTATCGACCCTCCCCAGGATGCAACCCCAGAAGTTATCCAATTCCCGGGTACCTATTTACCAACACGTGAACAAAAGCGAAAGAAAGGTAGAAAGAAAACATGCCCAACCATTTCTGTCTCACTTGGAAATCAATCCCAAATGGTGTCGAGAACAAATTAATTAACACTTTTGTGTCCTAATGACGCATTATGCAGTATAAAACCAAAACAAGCAGAGTGGGTGATGATGCAAACATTCATTAAATTTTGCAGTCTTAATAAAGTATAAACATTGCGAGTGAAAATTTAACGTTGGAATGTGTGCTCACTGGGAATGCTCGGCCTACCTTAGTGCGATTTGGGTGCCTCACCGGGCATGTGATAGTGTTAACTGTACTACAAGACCCCCTTTATATACTTATTAGCCTTTAATACACTCATACAATTCCTGACACATTTATAGTGTTTTTGGTTAGGTCTGAAAATCCTAGCAGCATTGTTGACTAACAATGTAAAAAAAAGTTACACTAATGAAAATAAGCAAGTAATTATCAAAAGGCAGCACCAAGCCAGGGAGACATTGAAAATGAAAAATTTGAACACCATAACAAGTGTGAATGCCCCACTATTATTATATATAATCCAACAAACCAATGGCCAGTTTTACCAGCACCTAACGAGATAAAACTACAAGTTTACCACAGTGATACTTGGAAAACCAAAATTGAATATATGGCCAATTATTGTCAATTATAAAAATATCCTCAAAGATTGTTTGTTGATCCATTACAGCATATTGCTAAATAGCGGCAAAAAATACCCAAGAGCAGACGTTGGTAGAGTAGGAAGGCCCCAAGTGGCAATATAAGATAAGACACACACTGACATGACTCCATGCACGGACCTCCACCGCCTCCTCACTTCTATTTTAGATTACGCTCCCAAAAAACACTGAGGCAGTCTTTCCTCAGCTTCAGCCACCGTGCAGACGAGAGCATTGTTGATCGTAGCGGCAAACGCCAAGCTGCAAGGAATGCCATGAAATCGATATAAAAGACGCAAATACAAGGCTTCCTCCTGTCTTCCGCTACGGAGCCGAGCTGCCATTGTCGTACATAAGCAAGACCTGCGCTTTGTTTTGCTTCTTCATACACCATCCAGCAACATAATTAATACCCCTAGCAGCGCTAAATCAAAGAGGTAAACACTAAACACAACGCCGCTCCTCATAAAAATCAACTTACTAGTATTGTGACATTAATTTTGCCCGAAACGAAGAGGAGAGTTGCTCGGGCTGGCTCAGCTCTTCATGAAAACACTCCTTCCGACCCCTAGCCAGCTGGGGCCGCGCCACCCCACCCTCCGTCCACCAAACTAGTTCTCACTAATTCCCCCATACTACCTCTATCCTTCTTTATATTTCTCATATATATAATTTATTTTTGACGATTGGCGTTGTGGTTCGTATATCTGAGATTCATTATTGACGAAATTGGGCATTTATGTGATGCAAAGAATCATGTCTCTTACGCTCTATATCACGCATATGTTCCTTAAAATTTGGTTATTGTCTTTATGAAAGGCTGAAAGTACATATTTTTCAAATTAAAGTGCACTTGAAAGGATTTTTTTAGAAAAATCATCGAGGGACAAACAGCTGATTGGTATATTCATCCGCGTAGGTCAGCATGGCCTTTGACCAGTCATAAATTTCGCGAGATAAATAAATCACAATATAAACAACGGAGCTGATTTTTCTCTATATAATAAGTGTCTTATCTCATTAACCAATGCCTAAGATTTCCATAAAAGAAATAAGAAGTTAAACAGCCTTTGTCAAAATTTTTATATTTATCTAACCTTTCTGGTATTATCGTTTCTTCGTAAACAAAGGCCGAACAGTTATCAAGTTTATATTTATTACCAGTTATATCTAGATATTAATGTATTTGAACTTTATTAAATATATTACTCGTATTTAAAATACTAATTAATAGAAAGGTGCGCTTGTCACAGAAATTTTAAAACGCTTTTGGCTGATATTCCATCATATATAATTAATAGAATGCAGTCAGGTCGCATTGAGTCAGTCTGTGTTCGAAATTACTCTCGAAGACCAAATGCAAACTTTGTTAGCCAAACCATATTAGTACACCCTGCATTACTATATGAAGAAAAGTGACTACAATACAGAATTTAGAGAGCTTCGACATGAATGCTCAAGAGTTGAGTTTATTTAATTTGTCAAACACCCGATACCTGTCCTGACACGTGAAGTGGTGATGGTTTTTGTCTTGTAGAGGGCTATTAAAATAATTTATAATAATAATTTATTGACAAGAACGTACAATGGGTTGGTGAGATTACATAATTCAATTCTTTTCTTTATTATACACTCCATACCCTTTCCGTGGGCGGTGGTGGAAAGGGTTACAGAGGCACTGCACATAATGGGTTTAAGAACTGAACCCCCATAGTTCATTTAGCTAAGCAAGTGACAATCTTTGAAGCTAGTTACACAATTCTTAATGTTACATACACATGTACATATATATAAAATAATTTACATAAATACATATACATATCAATAATCTTTTATATCACAAGTGATTCAACAAGAGGCTCACAACAGTCACTACACAAGGCACTTTACATCTATGGTGAGTCACACAGTTACTAGTCTTGCTCCACACCCACCCAACTGGGCAGCAGCTTTACAGTCATGTGCTCCACACCCACCCAACTGGGCGGCAGCTTTACAGTCATGTGCTCCACACCCACCCAACTGGGCGGCAGCTTTACAGTCATGTCTTACCTAGCAGTAAATAGGTACCTGGGAGTTAGTCAGCTGTCACGGGCTGCTTCCTGGGGGTGGAGGCCTGGTCGAGGATCGGGCCGCGGGGACACTAAAAAGCCCCGAAATCATCTCAAGATAACCATCATCTCAAGATAACTGGGCGGCAGCTTTACAGTCATGTACAGGCTACACCTACAGTAAGCACATTTTGGATACTTCGCAAAGTTTCCCGGCAGTACATCATTATGAATGAAGCAGTCCCCGTGCTGTAGGGGTAAGACACTCGTCTGGTGTTTTGCGAGAGCTTTGTCCTGGGTTCGTATCCTGGCCGAGGAGGATTTACTGGGCGTTAATCTTTAACTGTAGCCGCTGTTTATCCAACAGTAAGATAGGTACCTGGTTGTTAAAGGATTTGGTGGAGTCGTATTCCGGGGAACATAGGATTAAGGATTTGGCCGAAACGCTATGTGTGCTAGTGGACTCTAAGAACTTTTGTATAGAAAAAAATAATACTTTAACATTTCTTGGACACCATTGATGGTGTTATCTCTGAATTCCGCGATTTTTTCACATTCCATTATATAATGACGCAAGGAATACGAATAGTTCTGCTGATAGAGTTTACATTTAGTCAATTAAATAAATAAATAAATGTTTATTTAGGTAAGGCACATACAAGAGATTTTACAAAGATTGATGGATTTATAGATAGAGCTAATACATACAATGCCTAAAGCCACGATTACACAAAGCGTTTCGGGCATGAAAAACTTAAATGACTAAAGCTTAATAATAATTGTGTATAAAGAATAAAATGTGTTGAGAACAAATAAAAATAGAGATAAAAAAGGGGGGAACATGGCTGAAAAAGCAGCACAAATACAATTAGGTCGACAAACAGCGTTGTTTAAAAAAAACAGACATGGATTGACAATAGAGGGGTAAGGTAGGTTACAGGGAATTTATTAGGTAGTGCTTCGTTTTTATCTTAAACTGGTTGAGAGAGGTACAGTCTTTAACATGGTTGGGAAGGTCATTCCACATTCTGGGTCCCTTGATTTGTAGAGCATTTCTAGTTTGATTAAGTCGTACTCTTGGAATATCAAAACTGTATTTATTTCTGGTGTGGTACTCATGAGTTCTGTTACAACCTTCAATGAAGCTTTTGAGGTCAGGATTGGCATTACAGTTCAGCGTTTTACATATGTATAATACACATGAGAGAATGTGCTGTGACTTAATATCTAACATATTCAGAGATTTGAGTAGGGGTACCGAGTGATGTCTGGGGCCAGAGTTGGATATTGTCCTAATAGCAGCTTTGTGTTGAGTAATTAGAGGACGTAAATGATTTTGGGTAGTAGAACCCCAAGCACAAATACCATAGTTGAGATATGGATAGATGAGGGAGTAATAGAGAGTCACCAGGGCAGGGCGAGGTACATAATATCTGATCTTAGAAAGAAAGCCAACAGTTTTTGAAACTTTTTTTTATATATTTAGAATGTGTCCCTGGAAATTCAGCTTGCGGTCAATGAGAACGCCAAGGAATTTGCCATCTAATTTGTTACAAATTTGGGTATTGTTTATTTTGAGATTCATTTGATTAGAGGATTTATTGCCAAACAGAAATATAGAAAGTTTTGTCAATGTTAAGGGTGAGTTTGTTGGCAGTTAGCCAAAGATGGACTTTATTTAGCTCAGTATTTACTGTGGCATTTAGAGCAAGGGGGTCAGGACTGGAGTAAATGAAGGTTGTGTCGTCAGCAAATAGAATTGGTTTGAGGTGTTGGGAGGCATTTGGAAGGTCATTAATGTAGATGAGAAAGATGAGAGGGCCAAGTATGCTGCCCTGAAGAACACCAATGTTGATGGGTAGGGTGGGAAAAATTGAATTATTCACAGAAACATACTGGAGCCTTTCAGTAAGGTAAGATTTGAGGTATTGCAGGGAGTGTCCTCTGACTCCATAATGATGTAATTTAAGAAGAAGGTTTTGGTGGTTGACAGTGTCAAAAGCCTTACGCAGGTCCACAAATAACCCAACAGGGAACTCATTTTTATCAAGAGCTGCATGAATCAAGTTAATCATACTAATAAGTGCATCGTTAGTGCTTTTTTGGGTCTGAAGCCATATTGGCATGAGCTAAGTATATTGTGTTTGGCTAGATAAGAGTAAAGCTGCTTGTAGATTAGTTTTTCAAATATTTTTAACAGGTTAGGCAGGATTGATATAGGTCTGTAGTTGTGAACATCTGTGAGATCATCATATTTGTGAACAGGGGTTACTCTCGCTTTTTTTTTAGAATATCTGGAAAGGTTTGGAGTTTAAGTGACTTGTTGAAGAGCAATGCAATAGCAGGGGCTAAAGATCTGGAAGCTTTTTTGTAAATTAAAGTTGATATCTCTTCAAGGGCACTAGACTTGGTTTTAAGGGAAAAGATTATCTCATTGACATCAGTGGAATTAGTAGGCTTTAGGTACAGAGACTGTGGATAGTTACCTGTAAGATAGTCCTGAACATTAGTACTGGAAGATGGAATATCATTTGCAAGGGATGACCCAATGGAAGAGAAGAACCTATTGATCTCAATAGCAGTATCAGAGGCTGAAAGCTGACCATCGTTATTGGACAGGAGTATTGGTTTGTTATTTAAAATCTTTGATCCCAATATTTGTGAAATTGTGCTCCAAGTTTTTTTAATGTTACTTTTATTTATTTATTATTTATTTATTCATCTACACGTACACTGCATTCTGATACTCTGCCGACTCAAGCACCTTGCGCAGTACAGGACTTACAGCTTGTGTTTCCGACTCTTCATCACCTCCAGGACAATTCAGCTCTTGCAGTGATTCCCTCGGGGTCCTAACTACGTGCCTACATAAATAAATAAATAAATCTTACGGGCTCACCATAGCCTGTGCTACATGGACACTTCGTTCTGAGTAGCTAAATCTGAAACAACAACAACCTAGCAATCAATTGTGACCAGCCCGCGGTCATGTGCGGTCGTAAGCGCTCGTGGATATTGTGAAATTGTGCTCAACTCTTACAATTATGCAGTGCATTTGCGCGTTGGGGAAATGGCAGAGGCAGTCTGCCTCAGTGATAGACAATCGTGCACTAGGACTGACGATTATGAGTGAGGATGACTCTCAAGTACAAGGTTGTAACAAACTAGGCTGGTTGTAAGAATTATCCAGAGTGGTTTATCGACAAAAGAGAATGGGAAGCTGGGCCCGCGTGGTGACCCGGGACCTGACCCCTAGGGAATTCACGGTGAAAATAATCGACGCCTTGTTCATAGCTTCGTATAATGAACCATTTTATAGTATTCACTTATTTAGAGAAATTAGCCTTTATTCATTTTGTATTAAAATTGTATTGTATAATATTACTGGGTACAATATCAAGAGTATTCTAATTATTGAGTTAAGTCACCATCAGTGACGTCACGAATCAGATCTAAGTTGTAAGGCGCGAGTGACCGGCGGTCATAGGTCATCAGAGTTGACATGTCCACTATTTCTCAAAGTTCAAATAACCATTTTGGT